TATTGTAGATGAAGGGGGAGGGCGTGTACTAAATGGAACAGCATGAACACCATTATTGTAGAGGAGGGGAGGAAGTATGTAAAAGGGAGCAGCATTATTGTAGATGAAGGGGGAGGGCGTGTACTAAATGGAACAGCATAAACACCATTATTGTAGAGGAGGGGAGGAAGTATGTAAAAGGGAACAGCATAATGGTAGATGAGGGGGGAGGGAGTGTACTAAATGGAACAGCATAAAAACCATTACCATAGAGAGGGAGAGGAAGCGTGCTAAAGGGAACAGTGTAAAACAGCATTAGGATGGGAGGAAGAGTAGTAAAGGGAACAGCATAGCGGCAGAGGTGGAGGAAATATACTAAAGGGAAGAACGTAAACATCATCTTGTTGTCATACTGTACACATCATGAGGTACAGTGACTTGGCCCACCAGTACAGTGACTTGACCCACCAGTACAGTGACTTGGCCCACCAGTACAGTGACTTGGCCCACCAGTACAGTGACTTGGCCCACCACATTGAATAATAATGTTTGTTATGTTACATATTTTAATTGGAGATACAGTCCATGTCAGGAATTTAGTTTAATATTTGTAAGGTAAAAGTGCAAGTAAATGTGAAAGAGGCTCCCGTAGACCTGACAGCCAGTAGGGAAATTAACCGAATGCGAACCTAACCTAATACTATAACCTAACCTTACCTAACCGTCCCTCTCAGGTAGCATTAGGGTGTTTAATCATCAGATGAAATAAGCGGGGGAGACAATCTTTAAGGTGATTCGACATACTTTAGTTCAAGTACAGGAAAACTCATGTGGAAATATACATTATTTCTCCCTCTCGCGGGTTACAGCGCTAGTTCTCCGTCTCGCGGGTTACAGCGTTAGTTCTCCATCTCGCGGGTTACAGCGTTAGTTCTCCGTCTCGCGGGTTACAGCGTTAGTTCTCCCTCTCGCGGGGTACAACGTTAGTTCTCCCTCTCGCGGGGTACAACGTTAGTTCTCTGTCTCGCGGGATACAGCGTTAGTTCTCTGTCTCGCGGGATACAGCGTTAGTTCTCTGTCTCGCGGGATACAGCGTTAGTTCTCCGTCTCGCGGGGCACAGCATTATGTGAGGCGAGCTTTCCAATTTGTGGTCTACAGTTCGACCCTCTGTTTTTTCTCCAGAATTAATCCCCATTCTCTCCAGGCTGAAAATTGGCCCAGGGAGTGTTGCACCTAATGGCTCATTTAACCCAATAGCCTTTAAAGAAAAAAGTTGGGAAGCGAGAGTATGAGTGGCTCCTCTCTCAGGCCTTCACCTCCCTTTAGTTTTTACTACTAACTGTTGCTGAGGGAACTTATAGAAGGTGCTGTAGTCTCTCGGTGTGATGGTTACTGGGTGTACTTTATGTTAAGTTAGGTAGATTAGGTTCAATCTTACATCTTAGATTAGGTTAGTTTTGATTAGGTTAAGTTAGGTTCGGTTCGGTAAATTAGGTAGGTTACATTAGGTTAAGTTTGGTTAGATTAGTTTACAGGGGCTCGTCAGCTTTTGTGTAGTGTGGCAGTCCTGTGTTCTACATTCGACAGAATGAAACTCACATTAGTAAACATAATCTCGAATCAAATTAAAACAAATATCTCAAATATAATGATTTGTGGAATGTTTATATGACAGCTCCTGTAAACGCACTAGTGAAGGGGACTGTACACGCTACATCTTGTGTTAGGTACGAGGAATATTGATCTAAGAACGTTGGCGAGAGGACGCGGGTCACGGTGTGTTGGTGGTGTGAGGCGGCGGCTGGGTTACCTTACTGATAGTTGTTTTACCATGTGAGGGATGAATTTCTTTAAGTGAGGCTCAGTGCAAACAGTAACTAGTATTTGATGCCTCGTGTGTGTGTGTTTTAGTCTCAGCTGTTTACATGGAAGACGTCAGTATGTACCAGTGTTTATCGTCACACACCTTGCCGACCATCTGTACCTCCAGCTCGGTACATCTTGTGGGGAGACGAGCGGAGGGAGACCTTTCCTGGTGTGTTAAAGAGAGAAACTCGACCTATGTGTTGCGTTTTATCTTTCCCACATGTGAAGTTTTCCCACACTCCAATAGCTATATCCTACACCTCCTTTATTATCTCACATGAATATTTCCCGTGTTTCCTTGGATATCTCCCACGGTCATAAAATTCTCCCACGAGTTGAAAAGATAACTCCCACGATTTAGGCACATCTCCCACGCTATCATGGGCGTCTCTCACTCTCCCATGATTATCTCCCACGCTATCATGGGCGTCTCTCACTCTCCCGTGATTATCTCCCACGCTATCATGGGCGTCTCTCACTCTCCCATGATTATCTCCCACGCTATCATGGGCGTCTCTCACTCTCCCATGATTATCTCCCACGCTATCATGGGCGTCTCTCACTCTCCTGATTATCTCCCACGCTATCATGGACGTCTCTCACTCTCCCATGATTATCTCCCACGCTATCATGGGCGTCTCTCACTCTCCCATGATTATCTCCCACGCTATCATGGCCTCTATCTCCCATGATTATCTCCCACGCTATCATGGGCGTCTCACTCTCCCATGATTATCTCCCACCTATCATGGACGTCTCTCCTCTCCCATGATTATCTCCCACGCTATCATGGGCGTCTCTCACTCTCCATGATTATCTCCCCGCTATCATGGGCGTCTCTCACTCTCCATGATTATCTCCCACGCTATCATGGGCGTCTCTCACTCTCCATGATTATCTCCCACGCTATCATGGGCGTCTCTCCTCTCCCATGATTATCTCCCACGCTATCATGGGCGTCTCTCACTCTCCCATGATTATCTCCCACGCTATCATGGGCGTCTCCTCTCCCGATTATCTCCCACTATCATGGGCTTCTCACTCTCCCATGATTATCTCCCACGCTATCATGGGCGTCTCTCACTCTCCCATGATATCTCCCACGCTATCATGGGCGTCTCCACTCTCCATGATTATCTCCCACGCTATCATGGGCGTCTTTCACTCTCCATGATTATCTCCCACCTATCATGGGCGTCTCTCACTCTCCATGATTATCTCCCACGCTATCATGGGCGTCTCACTCTCCCATGATTATCTCCCACGCTATCATGGACGTCTCTCACTCTCCATGATTATCTCCCACGCTATCATGGGCGTCTTTCACTCTCCATGATTATCTCCCACATCATGGACGTCTCACTCTCCATGATTATCTCCCACGCTATCATGGACGTCTCTCCTCTCCATGATTATCCACGCTATCTGGCGTCTCTCCATGATTATCTCCCACGCTATCATGGGCGTCTCCTCTCCCATGATTATCTTCCCACGCTATCATGGGCGTCTCCTCTCCATGATTATCTCACGCTATCATGGGCGTCTCTCACTCCCAGTATCTCCACGCTATCATGGGCGTCTCTCACTCTCCCATTTATCCACCTCATGGGCGTCTCACTCTCCCATGATTATCTCCCACGCTATCATGGACGTCTGCTCTCACTCTCCCATGATTATCTCCCACCTATCATGGGCGTCTTCACTCTCCCATGATTATCTCCCACGCTATCATGGTCTCTCACTCTCCCATGATTATCTCCCACGCTATCATGGGCTCTCATCTCCCATGATTATCTCCCACGCTATCATGGGCGTCTCACTCTCCCATGATTATCTCACGCTATCATGGGCGTCTCTCACTCTCCCGATTATCTCCATCTGCTCTCCTCCATTATCTCCCACGCTATCACAGGCGTCTTCACTCTCCCCGATTATCTCCCACGCTATCATGGGCGTCTCTCACTCTCCCATGATTATCTCCCGCTATCATGGGCGTCTCACTCTCCCATGATTATCTCCCCTCCGGACGTCTCCCTCTCCCATTATCTCCACTATCATGGGCGTCTCACTCTCCCAGATTATCTCCCACGCTATCATGGGCGTCTCCTCTCCCATGATTCTCCCACGCTATCATGGGCGTCTCCTCTCCATGATTATCTCCCCTCATGGACGTCTCACTCTCCCGATTATCTCACGCTATCATGGGCGTCTCTCACTCTCCATGATTATCTCCCACGCTATCATGGACGTCTCACTCTCCCATGATTATCTCCACGCTATCATGGACGTCTCTCACTCTCCATGATTATCTCCACGCTATCATGGACGTCTCCTCTCCTTTCCCGCTATCATGGACGTCTCACTCTCCCGATTATCTCCCACGCTATCATGGGCGTCTCACTCTCCCATGATTATCTCCCACGCTATCATGGACGTCTCCTCTCCATGATTATCTCCCACCTATCATGACGTCTCACCCATGATTATCTCCCACGCTATCATGGGCGTCTCCTCTCCATGATTATCTCCCACGCTATCATGGATATCTCTTTCGGTCTTGGTCTTTCTTCCACGATCTAGACACATTTTTTTTCCCACGGCCTAAAGATTTCTCCCGGGTTAGATATATCTCGCCGGGGAGGACAGTGAAGGCGGGCATATAAACGAGGCGAGTTTAGTGTGTGGGGCTCAGAGCAGTGGGGGGGTAGGCGGAGAGGTCTGGGAATGAGGAGGGAAGAGGTTGAGGATTGAGGATGCGGAGGAGTGAGGATGGAGTTAAGGTCGAGTGCTAAAAACCTCACACTTAAGTCACTTCTCCATTGACTTAAACTTCAGCTTTGTGTGTTTATTGAGTGTTTGAGAGGCTAACAAGCCACCCAAGTGTATATAACAACCATTTAAGTGTATCTACAAACCGCTTAATGGAATCAAATTTGGTTTAAGTGTACTTACCTTTTACTTAGGGGCATCTATAACCCACTCAAATGTATCTAACGACCACTTAACTTAAAAAATATCATATTTGGTGTAAGTGTATATGCTTGTAAACCACTTAAGTGTATCTGCCAACATCATGTGTTGTACAAGTATATGTATCACTCACTTAAGTATATGTATCAGCCATTTAAGTAACACATGTCATCTCCCCCCACAGTGCCACGGAGGGCGCCGACAGTAACCCCCCCAGTGAAGGAGAGGAAGAACCCGAGGCCAAGGCTGGATTCGCCTCAGGTGAGTCACTCAACGTCTACAAGTGTGTCTGTTCCTGCCTGGACCTGGGGGAGGAAAGGGGAGGGGGAGGAATAAGAAGAGAAAGGGGGAGGAGAGGAAGAGGGAAGGGAATTGAGGAGGGATGAGGCAGGAGGATGAAGGAATATATATATATATATATATATATATATATATATATATATATATATATATATATATATATATATATATATATATATATGTATATATATTGGGGGAGGGGGGGTATTAGCCCACCCAGGCACAGGTCACTGACCCACATCGGAGCCTTGGACGCGAAAATGTGATAATAATAAATACAATTTATAATACAAAATAAAAAAAGTAATAACAATAATAATAATAGTAAATACATACAAAAATGAAAATAAAACATCAAGAATGAGAAACAATATATGTATGTTGTGTTGTCAATAGTAAGAGAAACAATTGAGTCCCTCCAATTGTGTGTAAATGAGGCAGAAAGTCAGATCATCAACCTGGTGGTGGTGAAGGTTCATATGTACGTATGTGTATTCTATTTTTCACCTCAAAACATTTATTAGAGGAAAGCTATAAACTAATTCTGCAGGTCTGGTGTGAACGAGAGCTATAAGCTAAAGAGGGGAAAGTGAATAAAAAATACTGGAATATAAGAGGGGAGGGAGAGAGGGGAGAGAGTTTTAATGCTAAGTGTGCAGGAGGGAACACTGTACAGGGTTGGGTGTAATTAAGAGGTGATCTAGTGTGGTGTAATATGTACAAGCTGCTACTAAGTGTGTACTGTACTCATGTCAGCTGTTGTGTGGTGTACTGTACTCATGTCAGCTGTTGTGTGGTGTACTGTACTATGTCAGCTGTTGTGTGGGTACTGTACTCTAGTCAGTTGTTGTGTGGTGTACTGTACTTGTTAGCTGTTGTGTGGTGTACTGTACTATGTCAGCTGTTGTGTGTGTACTGTACTATGTCAGCTGTTGTGTGGTGTACTGTACTCATGTCAGCTGTTGTGTGGTGTACTGTACTTGTTAGCTGTTGTGTGGTGTACTGTACTCTTGTTAGTTGTTGTGTGGTGTACTGTACTTGTTAGCTGTTGTGTGGTACTGTACTCTGTTAGCTGTTGTGTGGTGTACTGTACTTGTCAGCTGTTGTGTGGTGTACTGTACTCTTGTCAGCTGTTGTGTGGTGAATTGTACTTCTGTCAGCTGTTGTGTGGTGTACTGTACTCATGTCAGCTGTTGTGTGGTGTACTGTACTCTTGTCAGCTGTTGTGTGGTGTACTGTACTCTTGTTAGCTGTTGTGTGGTGTACTGTACCTTGTTATTGTTGGTGTACTGTACTTTGTTAGCTGTTGTGTGGTGTACTGTACTCATGTCAGCTGTTGTGTGGTGTACTGTACCTTGTCAGCTGTTGTGTGGTGTAATTGTACCATGTCAGCTGTTGTGTACTGTACTCGTAGCTGTTGTGGTGTACTGTAATTTTGTTATTGTGTGGTGTACTTACTCTTGTTACTGTTGTGTGGTGTACTGTACCTTGTTAGCTGTTGTGTGTGTACTGTACTCTTTGTAGCTGTAGTGGTGTACTGTACTTGTTAGCTGTTGTGTGGTGTACTGTACTCTGTCAGCTGTTGTGTGGTGTACTGTACTCTTATCAGCTGTGTGGTGTACTGTACTTGTTAGCTGTTGTGTGGTGTACTGTACCTTGTCAGCTGTTGTGTGGTGTACTGTACCTTGTTAGCTGTTGTGTGTGTACTGTACTTGTCAGCTGTTGTGTGGTGTACTGTACTCTGTTACTGTTGTGTGTGTACGTACTCTTGTTAGCTGTTGTGTGTACTGTACCTTGTTAGCTGTGTGGTGTACTGTACTCGTTAATGTTGTGTGGTGTACTGTACCTGTTAGCTGTTGTGTGGTGTACTGTACCTTGTCATTGTTGTGGGTATAATTGTACTCTTGTCAGCTTGTTGTGTGGTACTGTACCTTGTCAGCTGTTGTGTGGTGTACTGTACTGCAGTTGTGTGGTGTACTGTACTTGTCATTGTTGTGTGGTGTACTGTACCTTGTCAGCTGTTGTGTGGTGATGACCTTGTCAGCTGTGTGTGTACTGTACTGTAGCTACCGCGGACTGCACTTGTCATTGTTGTGTGGTACTGTACCTGTCATGTTGGTGGTGTACGTACCTGTCAATGCAGGGTACTGTACTTTTGTCAGCTGTTGTGTGGTGTACTGTACTTTGTCACTGTTGTGTGGTGTACTGTACTCTTGTCAGCTGTTGTGTGTACTGCAATTTGTCAGCTGTTGTGTGGTACTGTACTCGTCAGCGTGGTGTACTGTACTTTGTTAGCTGTTTGGACCGTACTCTGTCACTGTACTTTACAGCGTTGTGTGGTGTACTGTACCTTGTCATGTGTGTGTGTACTGTACTCTTGTCAGCTGTTGTGGTGTACGACTTTGTCACTGTTGTGTGGTGTACTGTACTCTTGTCAGCTGTTGTGTGGTGTACTGCACTGTCTGTGTGGAAAACTTGTCAGCGTTGGTGGTGTACGTACTTGTCACTGTTGTGTGGTGTACTGTACTTTGTCACTGTTGTGTGGTGTACTGTACCCTTGTCAGCTGTTGTGTGGTGTACTGTACTCTTTGTCAGCTGTTGTGTGGTGTACTGTACTTTAGTCAGCTGTTGTGGTGGTACTATGTCAGCTGAGTGGTGTACTGTACCTTGTAGCTGTGTGGTGTACTGTACCTGTCAGTTGTTGTGAATATCTGCTGTTGTGTGTGTACTGTACTCTTATCAGCTGTTGTGTGGTGTACTGCATTTTATCAGCTGTTGTGTGGTGTACTGTACTCTTATCAGCTATTGTGTGGTGTACTGTACTTATCAGCTGTTGTAAAGGCCTTTTAGCTGTTGTACTGTATCCTTGTCACTGTTGTGTGGTGTACTGTACTCTTGTCAGCTGTTGTGTGGTACTATACTCTTGTCAGCTGTTGTGGTGTACTGTACCTTGTAGTCTACCTTATCAGCTGTGGTACTATATCATTGTGTGTGTACTGCTACCTTTTGGTACTCATCCTATTGTGTGGTGTACAAATTTATCAGCTGTTGTGTGGGTGTACTGTACCTTGTTAGCTGTTGGGTGTACTTACTCGTTGTGTGTTTGTGTTAGCTGTTGTGGTGTACTGTACTCTTGTTAGCTGTTGTGTGGTGTACTGTACTTATCAGCTGTTGTGTGGTGTACTGTACTTTTATCAGCTATTGTGTGGTGTACTGCACTCTTATCAGCTGTTGTGTGGTGTACTGTACTCTTGTCAGCTGTTGTACTGTACTTGTCAGCTGTTGTGTGGTGTACTGTACCTTTGTCAGCTGTTGTGTGGTGTACTGTACTCTTGTCGCTGTTGTGTGGTGTACTGTACTTTTTAACTTTTCTGTGTGTACTCTTGTTAGCTGTTGTGTGGTATACTGGTACCATGTCAGCTGTTGTGTGGTACTGCACTTGTCAGCTGTTGTAGTACTGCAATTTGTCAGCTGTTGTGTGGTGTACTGCTTTGTTAGCTGTTGTGTATACTGTACCATAGCTGACAATACTTGGTCTTACCACAGGTGTTATGTGGTTGTGACAGCAGGTGTGTGTTATGACGTAGCCTCATAATGTGTAAGGTTAGGTTAGGTTAGGTTGGTTTATGTCAGGTTGTTAGGTTGTAAGGTTAGGTTAGGTTGTCAGGTTATGTTTTCTTATTATCTTAGCGTACCTTAAAATAGGATAGGTTTGGCTAGGTCAAATCAAGTCAGGTCAAGTAGGTTGTATAGTTAGGTCAGGCCACGATAATATAGGTTAGGTCAGGTCAGTTTCAGGAAGGTTGTATAGTTAGGTTAGGCCACGTTAATATAGGTTAGGTTGGTTAGGTTCAGTTAGGTTAGGCTGTTATAAGTCACATTAGGTTAGGTCAGGTCACATTAGGTCGTATAGTTAGGTCAAGCTACGTTAATATAGTTTAGGTTAGGATAAGTCGTATAGTTAGGTCAGCCACGTTAATATAGGTTAGGTCAGGCCAGGTCGTATAGTTAGGTCAGGCCACGTTAATATAGGTTAGGTTAGGTCAGGTCGTATAGTTAGGTCAGGCCACGTTAATATACAGTAGGTTAGGTCAGTTCAGTTAGGTTAGGTTGTTATAAATCATATTAGGTCAAGTTTGGAACACTTGTTTTGTTGTGACACATTAATGAAACAGACAGTAGAAATTAGTCCAGATGTGTGACTGTTTGGGTGGTGTAGTTGTGTGTGTGTGTGTGTATATAATGACAAAAAAAAAAAAAAGAGAGAGAGAGAGTACACCAGGTAGTTATTTGAAGAGGAAGAAAGAAATGGAGACAAAAAGAATAAAGACCAAGAAGAACACATTAATAAATCAGAGAGAGAGAGAGAGAGAGAGAGAAGAAGATGATTGTGTTTCCTTATAGCGACTTTGATGACGGCAGAGCTGAAGGAGGGGAGATTGGATAAAGGAAACGAGGGAAGACAGATGGGGAGGGAGAGGGGGTCATATACAGGGGCGAGGGGAGAAGCACCGTTGATGACCTTAATGAACAAGACACACTGAATATTGTCGCCGCCAGGAGGGTGGTGGTGGTGATGGTTCTACTGAGTGTTAGTACAGTTGTTATAGTTAGTACACTTGTTATAGTTAGTACACTTATTATAGTTAGTACACTTATTATTACACTTCATATATTCATTACCGTTGGCACAGTTATTACGTTTTGTTACAATTAATACTTATTTTGTTGTTTTTTGTTAAATTGTTCTTGTTAATGTTGTAATTTTGTTAGTATTTTGGATAATGTTATTTTTGTTCTTATTGTTATATATTCTCATGTTGTTTATGTTGCTGTTATTGATGTGCTTTGTGTTCTCTTTATTGTTCCTCTTGTTATTGTTTGTTCTTTTGTCTGAACATTCTGGGCAGGAGAGTGGTTGAGGAGTCCCACTGAGCTGTTGGCATAATGTGTGAGGGAAGGAGAGCTAGAGTGTGTGTACTTCCGACAACTGCTTGAGGCCAGGGGGGGCGGTGGTGCTTGAAAGAGAGAAGGGGGAACTGCTTAAAGGAGAGAGAGGGAGGAGATGGGAGAGTGAAGGGCGCGTGGATAAGTTCTTGGAGGAGAGAGAGGGAGGAGATGGGAGAGAAGGGCGCGTGGATAAGTTCTGGAGGAGAGAGAGGGAGAGATGGAGAGTGAAGGGCGCGTGGATAAGTTCTTGGAGGAGAGGGGAGGAGATGGGAGAGTGAAGGGCGTGGATAAGTTCTTGGAGGAGAGAGAGGGAGGAGATGAGAGTGAAGGGCGTGGATAAGTTCTTGGAGGAGAGAGGGGAGAGATGGGAGAGTGAAGGGCGCGTGGATAAGTTCTGGAGGAGAGAGGGAGGAGGGAGAGTGAAGGGCGCGTGGATAAGTTCTTGAGGAGAGAGAGGGAGGATGGGAGAGTGAAGGGCGCGTGGATAAGTTCTTGGAGGAGAGAGAGGAGGAGATGGGAGAGTGAAGGGCGCGTGGATAAGTTCTTGGAGGAGAGAGGAGGAGATGGGAGAGTGAAGGGCGCGTGGATAAGTTCTTGGAGGAGAGAGAGGAGGAGATGGAGAGTGAAGGGCGCGTGGATAAGTTCTTGGAGGAGAGAGGAGGAGATGGGAGAGAAGGGCGTGGAAGTTCTGGAGAGAGGGAGGAGATGGGAGAGTGAAGGGCGCGTGGATAAGTTCTTGGAGGAGAGAGGGGGAGGAGATGGGAGAGTGAAGGGCGCGTGGATAAGTTCTTGGAGGAGAGAGGGGGAGAGATGAGAGTGAAGGGGCGGTGGATAAGTTCTTGGAGGAGAGAGAGGGAGGAGATGGAGAGTGAAGGGCGCGTGGATAAGTTCTTGGAGGAGAGAGGGAGGAGAGATGGAGAGAAGGGGCGTGGATAAGTTCTTGGAGGAGAAAGAGGGAGGAGATGGGAGAGTGAAGGGCGCGGATAAGTTCTTGAGGAGAGAGAGGGAGAGATGGGGAGAGGGCGCGTGGATAAGTTCTTGGAGGAGAGAGAGGGAGGAGATGGGAGAGTGAAGGGCGTGGATAAGTTCTTGGAGGAGGAGAGAGGGAGGAGAAGAGTGAAGGGCGCGGATAAGTTCTAGGAGAGAGAGGGAGGAGATGGGAGAGTGAAGGGCGCGGATAAGTTCTTGGAGGAGAGAGGGGAGGAGATGGAGAGTGAAGGGCACGTGAGTTCTTGGAGGAGAGAGGGGGAGGAGATGGGAGAGTGAAGGGCGCGTGGATAAGTTCTTGGAGGAGAGAGGGAGGAGATGGGAGGTGAAGGGCGCGTGGATAAGTTCTTGGAGGAGAGAGAGGGGGAGGAGATGGGAGAGTGAAGGGCGCGTGGATAAGTTCTTGGAGGAGAGAGGGAGGAGATGAGGTGAAGGGCGCGTGGATAAGTTCTTGGAGGAGAGAGGGAGGAGATGGGAGAGTGAAGGGCGCGTGGATAAGTTCTTGGAGGAGAGAGGGAGGAGATGGGAGGTGAGGCGTGGATAAGTTCTTGGAGGAGAAGAGGGAGGAGATGGGAGAGTGAAGGGCGCGTGGATAAGTTCTTGGAGGAGAGAGAGAGGGAGGAGATGGGAGAGTGAAGGGCGCGTGGATAAGTTCTTGGAGGAGAGAGAGAGGGAGGAGATGGGAGAGTGAAGGGCGCGTGGATAAGTTCTTGGGAGGAGAGAGGGAGGAGATGGGAGAGTGAAGGGCGCGTGGATAAGTTCTTGGAGGAGAGAGAGGGAGGAGATGGGAAGGGGGGTTAAAGGAAGGAAGGGGTCAGCTTGTGTGTGTTTTTATTATTAGTCATTTGATCATTACAATGGTTTAGTATGAAGAAGGAGACAGTACAGTTAATAGCTCCTGTGTGGTTCAGTTTATATCTTATTATTTTAACAGTATATACATATTATTGTTATTATTTGCTATTTTAATACAGTCTTTATTTTAAGTAGTAAAATATAGCTTTTTTACCTATTGTGTTCACTTTATTTTAGAAAGCTAATTGAGTGCTTACAGCCTTACTGTTGCTTTCACTGTCTTTATTTTTATAAGTTGAAAACCTTTATTTATTTAAGTAATATAAAACAGCTACTGTACTTTATTTTGAACAGTATAATTCCCTATAATTTCTTACTGTATAGTGATTTATTATCCTTTTTTTGTAAATTTATTCACAAAAGTAAATAATTAATTAGTTCATTTTATTGTTTTTAGTATTATTATTTCTTACAGTACAGTATTATGTTGTTTGGTGGCCTCATGAAGTAGAATACCTTCCTTTATTTAAGTATTTTATTACACTTATCAGTCTTATCATTTATTAGTGTTTCTCTCTTATCAGTTGACTTATCACACAGGCACATCTTTAGTGTTTGATTGGTTTACTTATTATTGTTTCTCACTTCACAGCCATGAACGACGCGACCAAAGCCTGGGAAGGTACAGTATAGTGTCTGAGCCAACTACTGGTGGTGGTGGTGGTGGTATGGTGTGTGAGGCAACTACAGTGGTGGTGGTGGTGGTATGGTGTGTGTGAGGCAGCTACAGGTGTGTAGGTAGGTATGGTGTGTAAGGCAACTACAGGGTGGTGGTGGTATGGTGTGTGTGAGGTAACTACTGGGGTGGTGGTGGTGGTATGGTGTGTGAGGCAACTGCAGGTGGTGGTGGTATGGTGTGTGAGGCAACTACAGGTGGTGGTGGGCGGTGTGTGAGGCAACTACAGGTGGTGGTGGTGGTGGCGGTGTGTGGAGGCAAATCTACAGGTGGTGTGGTGGTGGTACAGGTGTGTGAGGCAACTACTGGTGGTGATGATGGGTATGGTGTGGAGGAACAGTGTGGTGGTGGTGGTATGGTGTGTGAGGCAACTACTGGTGGTGGTAGTGCTGGGAAGGTATGGTGTGTGTGCCAACTACTGGTGGTGGTCGTAGTGGTGGTGGTGATAGTAGTTGTTATTGTGATGCTTGTGTGTTTGTTATTGGTAGTGGTTATTGTGGTGATGGTTGTTGGTAGTGGTTGTTGGTTGTGGTTATTGGTAGTGGTTATTGTGGTGATGGTTGTTGGTAGTGGTTATTGTGGTGATGGTTGTTGGTAGTGGTTATTGTGGTGATGGTTGGTGGTAGTGGTTATTGTGGTGATGGTTGTTGGTAGTGGTTATTGTGGTGATGGTTGGTGGTAGTGGTTATTGTGGTGATGGTTGGTGGTAGTGGTTATTGTGGTGATGGTTGGTGGTAGTGATGAATATGGTGGTGTTAATCAAAGGCCTTTTCTAAATATGTTCACTTAACACTGGAGGTGAAACAACCTGAAAAAAGCCTAAAAAATGGTTAGTTTGTTAAATTGTGTTATTGAGTGAAGGTAAATAGTTAATGTCATGTTAATATTGTTTGTATGTTAGTTGTGTGTTGGTGTAATGTTAATATATATCTCTTGAGACTCACGACCCCGATATACTGTACCGTGCTTCCTCAGTTGTCTTGGGGCGCGTATATCGGGTACACCTTGAGTGGGTGTACCCTAACCTAACCTAAAATAGCCAAGCTTAACCTAACCTAACCTAGCCAAGCTTAACCTAACCTAACCTAACCTAACCTAATCCCAGTTGAGTAAACCCCCAGCTCAAAACACGAGGTATTTAACTAACTAACTGGTACTTAACTTATCACCTAATTACAGAATATAGTTTGTCTAACTTAACTTCCTGAACTGGTGGTAATTTCCCCTCAGGTACTAGCCAATCAGAGAACTGGTTGACCTAATTACATTTGACAACACGAGGTAACTAGGTCTTAACATACTAGGTAATTATCGAGGATTGCTAGCCCAATTTAACCTCTTGGACTAACCAATCAGGGAGAAGCTGGTGATAATTTCCCCCTCAGGTACCAGCCAACCAGAGAGGTGCTTGACGTGATCCCAGCTAACGGGGGACTAGCTGGTTGGTGGCTGTGGTAGTAATTATGGGCCCGGGGGAAGCCAGGAGCCGCGCCGGAGTGTAATTTCCTGTAATTAATGACAGTGGGTGGCTGTGGTGGCACCTCTAGCGGCTGTGTGATGTTGGTAGTGTTGGTAATGGTGGTAGTGTTGGTAGTAGTTGCAGTGGTGGTAATAGTTATGCTGTCAGTAATCGTGGTGGTGATGGATTTTGAGAGAGAGAGAGAGAGAGAGAGTTGTTCCTTTCTCATTCACATCCACAGACCAACTCTCGTTGTGGTTAGGTTAGGTTAGGTTAGGCTCACTCTGTTAATGTCCGTGTTAGTTTTATGTTTGTAATTTATATCTGTTGTTGTTGTTTGTGTTGTCTTTGCCTTTTTATTTCTAATGATACTTCTACTACTGTTGATGATGTAAATAATAATAATAATAATAATAATAATAATAATAATAATATTATTACAACAGGAATCTACTACACATTTCTCCTTCCTCCTTCTCTACCCCTCCTCCTCCTCCTCCTCCTCCCTCCTCCTCCCCTCCTCCTCCTCCTCCTCCTCCCTCCTCCTCTCCCCTCCTCCTCCTCCTCCCCCTCCTCCCTCCTCCTCCTCCTCCTCCCTCCCCTCCCTCCTCCTCCTCCTCCCTCCCTCCCTCCTCCCTCCTCCCTCCCTCCTCCCTCCTCCTCCTCCTCCTCCTCCTCCTCCTCCTCCTCCTCCCTCCTCCCTCCTCCTCCTCCCTCCTCCCTCCTCCTCCTCCCCTCCTCCCTCCTCCTCCTCCTCCTCCTCCCCCTCCCCTCCTCCTCCTCCTCCCTCCTCCTCCTCCTCCTCCTCCCCTCCTCCTCCTCCTCCTCCTCCCTCCCTCCTCCTCCCCTCCCCCTGGTAGTGGAAGTCATTCATCAAACTGTTCAACACTTCGTCACCAGCTGTTGTTATCATCAAGGTCGTGATAATGTTGAGTAGCGTACCAGATGGTGTGTGTGTGTGTGTGTGTGTGTGTGTGTGTGTGTGTGTGTGTGTGTGTGTGTGTGTGTGTGTGTAGTAGTCTTCACCAAGGATGTGCCCAATGTATACATACAGCCAAACAAACAAACAAAATCGTTTCTCTCACCGAATATTGCAGAATACAGTATTGCAAGGTGAGGCATATATTGCACAGCTATGCAATTGGTGAGAGTTTTGTGAATAAAACCAAATATTACACGAGCCTCCCTACACGATATCGGGGAATGGGCTATCGGAAATGGATAACTAGTGACTGTAAGCCGATTAGAAAATGTTTGAATGTGTTAGTTGTAATGATGATAGCGGGACCTGTGTTTATTGAGGATATACACGTTGTTAACCTAACGTGTGTGTGTGTGTGTGTGAGAGAGAGAGAGAGAGAGAGAGAGAGAGAGAGAGAGAGAGAGAGAGAGAGAGAGAGAGAGAGCGCGCGAGCTGGTGTGTGTGTGTCTCCAGTAATCACTATAGGAATAAGTCTCCCCAATACTGTTGGTCTCCACGGCAGCGTTGAGCGACTATGGCAAGATACTGGAGCACAAGGTCACTGTTGGCTGGTCAGAGGTCACCAGTGGCTCACCAGGTAACGATTGTCTTGCCGAAGCTCCCTCCCTCGGTTCGCACCCAACTAACAATCATCTCCGCTTCCAATCATTTGTTTGTTTTTTGTTACTAATCACCACCCACTTTGCGTTCTCTCTGGCGGGTGTGTTTTCTGAATTGAATTGAATTGAATTGAAACATTTTATTTAACCAGAAAAAACAGATACAGAGTGGATAATAATAACAATATTAACATGGCTGAGCCAGTTGAGAACCTGAGCTCTCTTTGAGGCACCTGGTGTATACTATACATTTATCTCAAGGACGTATTATGTAACATTTAGTATCATCTGGAATAGTACAATAGCATGATGGTAATAAGAACATCTCATAATGTTACCACGGTTATCACTTCAATATTTATTTATTTCATTATTTATTATTTTTATTTTTTATTTATTTATTTATACATACATATACACATACATATACATAGAAACACACACACACACACACACACACACACACATATATATATATATATATATATATATATATATATATATATATATATATATATATATATATATATATAATCAAATCACTGTGGGTGCATGATCCCAGGTATATGCTGATAACCACAAGGAAGGGAAGAAAACACGCAGGATTTCCCAAACTTTCGTGTAATTCCTCTTCGGTGAATTACACGAAAGTGTAATATATATATATATATATATATATATATATATATATATATATATATATATATATATATAAATATATATAATATATATAATATATATATATATATATATATATATATATATATATATATATATATATATATATATATATATATATATATTTAAATTACAGTGGAATTGAAAAACAAAAGTATAATGGGGGAGCAGTACAACCTGGGTTGTACAGTAATAAGGTTAAACAAGAGGACACAGCTGTCAGGATTATGTCTAGTTAGCAAGTAAATGTTGCAAGAAATATTAATACTTCGACAATAGATATTTTTTTAGAGATGATTTAAAGGAAGGGAGCGTAGTCTTTGCTCGGATGTGTGGGGGTAAGTTGTTCCACATCTTCATACCATGATATTTTATGGAGGTCTGGGACTGAGAGGAGCGCATGGGGGGTGGTCTTAGTAGCTCTGGGTGCCTTGAGTTTTTTCTCTGATTATTCCGGAACTGGAAATAATTATTGTCAAGCAAGTGATTGATAGATTTGTAAACAAAGAGGGCACAGCAGTAAGTGTTAATATCCTCGAATTTAAAAAATTTCAATATAGCAAATTTTTCGTTTGTGTGATCTGTTTTTTTTTTCAAGTAGGTCATTTTTCGTACAACTCTCTCTTGTGCAGTAACCAGAGATTGTGTTTTTGAAGAGCCAGAGGCCCCCCATAGTGTGTGACAGTGTATCAGGTGTTGGTAAACAAGTTCATGATAGATTTCTTTCATTGCTGTGAGAGTGAGTGACTGTCGAGTGTGATACATGATACCGCACTGTTTATTGATTTTACTGTGAATGGCTTGTATGTGGTTTCTCCAGTTAAGTTTCTCATCAACAATAATTCCGAGGAATTTAGTATTTTGTTCGCGTTTGAGGACTATATTACCAAGGTCGTGTAGTGGGTTTTCTCAAGGTTTAAGGTCAGTTTATTACGTATTACCCAGGTCCCGACTTTAGTTAATTCAGTGTTCATAGTTCTCGTCAAGAAATGGAGGTCTGAGTTGCTGGCATAGAGATTACTATCGTTTGCAAATTAGTTGTATTTTATGACTGAGCTGGCGTGGACTATGTCGTTTATGTACAACAAAAACAGTACTGGACCGAGAATGGAACCTTGGGGGACTCCATACAAGATTGGCGAGGAGTCAGATTGGTGGTTATTATAGCAGACATACTGCATCCTGTTGGACAGATATGAGGTAAACCAATTGTGGGACAGGCCCCTAACGCCGTAATGTTCAAGCTTTGAAAGGAGGATGGTATGGTCGACAGTATCGAAGGCTTTAGAGAGGTCCAAAAATATACCGACTGTGAACTGACTGTCATCAAAGGAATTTACGATGTCATTAGTAAAGGATAGCAGAGCACGTATATATGATTTCCAATCATATATGACACGATTTTTATAGTGATGTTCCTTCCAATCATTGAACACAGTCACCATACAAAGATGCCCTCCAATCACTGAACAGTCACCATACAAAGATACCTTCCAATCACTGAACAGTCACCATACAAAGATACCCTCCAATCACTGAACAGTCACCATACAAAGATACCCTCCAATCACTGAACAGTCACCATACAAAGATACCTCCAATATGACAGTCACCATACAAAAGATACCTTCCAATCACTGAACAGTCACCATACAAAGATACCTTCCAATCACTGAACAGTCACCATACAAAGATACCCTCCAATCACTGAACAGTCACCATACAAAGATACCCTCCAATCACTGAACAGTCACCATAGAAGATACCTTCCAATCACTGAACAGTCACCATACAAAGATACCTTCCAATCACTGAACAGTCACCATACAAAGATACCTTCCAATCACTGAACAGTCACCATACAAAGATGCCCTCCAATCACTGAACAGTCACCATACAAAGATACCTTCCAATCACTGAACAGTCACCATACAAAGATACCTTCCAATCACTGAACAGTCACCATACAAAGATACCTTCCAATCACTGAACAGTCACCATACAAGATACCTTCCAATCACTGAACAGTCACCATACATAGATACCTTCCAATCACTGGACAGTCACCATACAAAGATACCTTCCAATCAATGAACAGTCACCATACAAAGATACCTTCCAATCACTGAACAGTCACCATACAAAGATATCACTGAACAGTCACCATACAAAGATACCTTCAATCAATGAACAGTCACCATACAAAGATACCTTCCAATCAATGAACAGTCACCATACAAGATACCTTCCAATCACTGAACAGTCACCATACAAAGATACCTTCCAATCACTGAACAGTCACCATACAAAGATACCTTCCAATCACTGAACAGTCACCATACAAAGATACCTTCCAATCACTGAACAGTCACCATACATAGATACCTTCCAATCACTGAACAGTCACCATACATAGATACCTTCCAATCACTGAACAGTCACCATACATAGATACCTTCCAATCACTGAACAGTCACCATACAAAGATACCTTCCAATCACTGAACAGTCACCATACAAAGATACCTTCCAATCACTGAACAGTCACCATACATAGATACCTTCCAATAATTCAGGATCTGATTTTCATGAAAATATATGCCGTCCAATTCTTGATTACACGATTACCACATACAGCCGAGCCCTCCAATCACCATAAACGAGAACAGAAACTTTTCAATAATCTTTTTTTTCTTCAGTCGACCAGTCTTTAGTAATGGTGTATCTCTTCCTGTCCTGTCTGCCTCTTCCTTTTTAGTGTGTGTGTGTGTGTGTGTGTGTGTGTGTGTGTGTGTGTGTGTGTGTAATAATAATAATAATAATTAACGGTTTATTGTAAAAGTTCTGCAGCCCGAAGGCTGAAAATATACATTGGACATAAATGACTTATTACATGCTTTGGTGGTTTAACAAAAGCCTTCATTAGAGAAAGATAAAGGAACATACAGTGAACATACAGATTAATGTAGGTGTTGAACAGCAAACACGTAGTGTAGTAACTCCTTCCCAGATGGTGTTATGAGGGACCTCACGTGGTGTAGTAACACCTTCCCAGATGGTGTTATGAGGGACCTGACGTGGTGTAGTAATTCCCTCACAGATGGTGTTATAAGGGGCATTACGTGGTGTAGTAATTCCCTCACAGATGGTGTTATGAGGGACCTCACGTGGTGTAGTAATTCCCTCACAGATGGTGTTATGGGGGATCTGACGTGGTGTAGTAATTCCGTCACAGATGGTGTTATGAGGGACCTGACGTGGTGTAGTAATTCCCTCACAGATGGTGTTATGAGGGACCTCACGTGGTGTAGTAATTCCGTCACAGATGGTGTTATTTTGGGCCTGACGTGGTGTAGTAATTCCCTCACAGTTGGTGTTAAATGATTGAGGTGTGGTCCCAGGCCTTCCTCTCGTAGACGGATTAACACATCGCTGGTTGTTGTTGGGTCTCACGGGCCGTTATCACTGGGTACATGGGACCTCATTGTGTGAAGTTTAACTTAGGTACGACTCGGCTGTTACTCTTGAGTTGTTCTCACTGACTTAAGCACTGTTCACCACTGTTCACCTCTGTTCAACATGGTTCCATTCCTTTCCTAAATGAAATTGTAACTTCTGGCGAGAACTTGTTGATATTCCGGTGGAGAGGAGGGTTCAGGGGAGGGAGTTGGTATGGGCCAACTTAACAGTTGACCTGGCTGCTCCCACAGGAGCTCCAGGTACGTCTTGACCCTTCGGTGGTCAAAGATGTAGTGTGTGTGTGTGTGAAGGTTTATTGCGACATTTCATACTAACACGAATGTAAACTAGAGCCACAACAGTCGTATTAATAGCTGGTGTTAGGGCTTCTCGGTACCAGATTCACAATGTTTCTTACGTCCATTTTCCTCGTAACTGGAGATGTAAGAAAGCATCAAACTGGCTGACTTAAGCTTCAACCCAAAGGTGGATTTTCAAAGCTTCTTACGTCGGATTTTCCTCTTGAATGGAGACGTAAGAGCGCTCCATGTTGACTTGATTTCAGCTAAAACACAAGACATCAAAATTGGCGTCGATATTAAACTGGGACTAGCTGTTGTATCTACGTTCACTTAGTACCTGTGAGATACTACCTTTAGGGTTAGGTTAGGTTAGGAGGTTAAGTTAGGGTAGGTTAGATACGTCCACTTAACACCAGTTAGGAGAAAAAATAATAAACACACACACACACACACACACACACACACACGCACGCACACACACACACACACACACACACACAGGCTGGCACTGGTTTGTCTTTGTCTGATAAGTGTCAAGTGCCTGAGGTGTCTTAGGAATGTCAGGCGTGTCTTAATTGCTTGCTTGTTTGTATAGTGGTGTGTGTGTGTGTGTGTGTGTGTGTGTTAATCATCAGTCTGTATACATATTGTCCTCCGTGTTATTAACAATTACAGAACTAATCACC